ATAAATTCGTGTATTCAAAATCTCAAAAAATGTTTCCATAAAAGTTCACATTGAAATCGAGAGCTTTCCAGTGATACAAAATTTATAAAAATTGTAGTTCATTTGTATTTTCAAAGGAATTTTTATGATTTAGTCAATATCTGTGTTCTAATCTGATTTTCCTTTCTTTGAAATCCAAAATATGTTTCTCCGAATTTGATAAACTTTGAGTCCTCTTTTACGAAAACTCAAAACTACAAAGTTGTACATTAGGGCCTTATTATGTAGACTGGAAATTTTGAGGGCCTAATAGCAATTTTTATGGGGTCAATTTGCTAAAAGTCTCAGATAAGGTCCTCTCGGACTTAAACTTGATTTGCAAACGAGTCATTGGTGAAAATCGAATTTTATAAAAATTTGGAGAGCTTTTCAGAAAAAACTCAAAACATAAAAACTGTCACACACGGAGAATTCTAATTGTCTAAAAGTTTTAGCGGGATTTTGATAACGACCACTATTTTTTCCACAATTTTTTTTTATTCAAATTCAAACCGAGTTAGACTGTCATAGAGGGTAGAATTGTCTTTTTCGTTTAAATCGGTGGAGAACTAGAAAAAGTGGTCTCTTGACTTTTTATCCTCATGACATAAGCTTTCTAATGACACCTGAATCACTTCATTTTGATATCATTAGATTGATTAATCATATTCAAACAGAATGGGTCCGAATTTAGTAACTAATGATTGATTAAGTGGTCCTCTTATGAGGCCCGCTTCCCATTGCTTGATTGGTTGAGAAACAAGGTCCATGGGCCTGAATGCATACTTTACTCATTGCTATGCATGTGTTTGTTAGATGTATGTTAAGCCCGGTGCATGTTCGGCGGGTAGCCCATTATGGTCACTTAGAACTCAACTTTAGGGGTTAATCGATATAAGTTGCCGTTTTGTGAATGCAAATGGTAGCCCGTTATCATTAAACATTAATCAAATAATGTTAGATGATTAAGTGGATGAGTGAATCGAAATGCATGTAAAGCAAAGACCGATCTCGAGGCTCATATTTGATTAGTGAATTGTTTGCATCATTACATTTTTTTAATTGTTGCTTTGTGCATTGTTTGTCGTGAGTGTATCTTATGGATATAAACACCGACACCCGAGAGGAGGTCCATGGAAGGGATAGTCCAAAATTGTAAAAGACCAAGGCGATAGACCGATGTCCAATCCGGTCTCAATTTGTATTCACTTGACGGTGGTGATAGACCGATGTCCAATCCGGTCTCAATTGCTATTCAATTCATTTGTTCCCGATCATGTCTTGGGTTTTCAATTTGTGTTGTAATAAAAACTCGATGAGCTACGGGTTTTACTTTCTCGCATTTAGAATTAGCTAGTCCTTTTAATATCTTGAGTGTTTACTTTGCGCAATGCTTTTCAATACAATTGTTTGTTTCTTTCCTTTCTAGATTAAGATAGGATTAGTTTAGAATCTTAAATGAAAACATAAAAACAAAATGCATGATCACCTAGTGGACTAAGACTTTGGCATGAAAAATGGTAAAAAATAATTGCATGACAATTTAGATAACAGCCATGTTAAGTTTAGCGGTACCGAAAAGGGCGTTAATAGAATTATTAACGTAAACTAGTCCCCAAACTCATGATCTCTTGGTTTTCGTAGAAACCGAAACGAAACTCCCGCGTTTTGGTTGGGTATTCTAGCCGACTCCCGACCTAGGCTAGTGGCGACTCCTAAAAAGATAAAATCAATCCGCTGTCATGCAAGGTATGGATTTAGGGAAAATCCACATTCATGATCAATGGACCATATGGATGACTAAAATATCGATGCTTTGGTAAGCCGTTTTTTATGATGTGCCAAATGGACCGTATGGATGACCAAAAGATCGATGCTTTGGTAAGCCGTCTTTTATGATATGCCATGCGAACCGTATGGATGACAAAAAGATCGACGTTTCGGTAAAGCTGTCTTTTATGATGTGCCATATGAACCGTTTCATGAACGCTTACCTCTAAACCCGCTTCATCGAGTTCGGCCCTTGTGAGGTAGGTCGCGATAACTTATGACCACAAAAAAAATCAGTTGGGATATGTTGCGAATGTAAATAGCAGATATAAAATATTTCCAGTTTTTAAAATTTTTACATGTTCATTTTCCATCTTTGAGGCAAAGGGGACTTGATTACTGTGACAATCCGGTCCGATGAGGGCGGGGAGTGATCGCTGGAGTTCGAGGACTTGGACAAGGAGTGGCTCCAAGCAGGCTTTTCCTTCTGCTTTCTGGCTCGAAACAGTTGACCTGCCGCGGTTGGTCCGTCACTGCGAGAAGAAAAAATGGCTTCTTGCTCGCTTTTCTCTGCAGATTCAGCTGCAGCAATCCTCTGTGCAAGAACCCAAAATAATAATGAGTTTGGACGATACCCCTTTTCTCTTTTGCTCTATTTTTCTTGTTTATGTCAAATTTTCCTTTTTTATTTCCTGGTTTATCTGGAAAAAGATGGAGAAGGGAAACAAGAAAAGCAAAATTCAAGCTGGTGGATGTTCTACTGCTTTTCTTGATGTTGGAGCCACATGATAGGATGCCATTTTTTTCTCTGTCGATCATATGTTACGATGCTTGGAATAGGATGCCATTTTTTTCTCTGTCGATCATATGTTACGATGCTTGGTGCTTCAGCTCTGTATGTGCTCGGCGGTTTCGTCTCGGATTAGCAAGAAGAAGAAGAAGAAGAAGAAGAAGAAGAAGAAGAAGAAGATTGTCCCTTTTGGAAAATGTGACCTAGAAGCTTTCTCATAGTAGATCTCATTCTCATCTTTCCATAGTCCATACAGCTGAAATCAACTTGTTTTATCACCATACCATTCTAAATCACATCCTTTGAAATCCAAAATGAAAATGGCTCTTCGAAAGCTTAATTTATTCTTTTCTTTATGAGTAAATTATATGCTTCATTTCAATCTCCAATGAATACTATATGAGGGTAAAGCAACCATATATCCATACTGATACAACCATACCATTCTCGCAGAAAGCTTTAGTACCCCAACTAACATATGTATCCCACGTCTTATTCACAAGCCTATCTCATTAACACTTTACACACACACACACACACATATATGCATCATGTTGGTTTTCTACGGAACATGCATAGTTAAAATTAAATATAAACGCAATGGAAAGATATAACCATACATGTATCTCCAAAGGCGTTGTTCGTGTGTTTCAATAAAAAAATCGGAAGATCATAGAGGATTAAACGGATTACCTCTTATAGCATGTCCAAAACGATTTTGGTGCGGATGTTCTTCAATTCGAGCCCCACAATCGTCGGACCTTTAGTTCAGATACACCACCAATCGCAAAATGAATGGAAGAAAGAACTTGTGGGTAATCACCACTATAATTGTGCTAGCAATCTCGTGGCGACAATTTTCCGCACTCTCGATATTTTAGTCATGGCGCCGGAAGAGAAAAAACGTAATTTTTAACTCTCACAAACATATGATAATTGCATACACACTTTTTCATCATTATGCAACTGTTGCTGATCGCGCCTTTTATATGTGCGATTAGCAACATTTGCTGATCAGCTCAGCAACCGTTGTTAATCGTGCATGTGTGCACATTGCACACGATCAGCAACGGTTGCTGATCGTGCGTGCCATGCACACGGTCAGCAACTGTTTGCTGACCGCATGCTATGCACATGGCGAGCACTTACTGGCCATGTGCATGCGCCAATTTTTTTTATTTTTTTTTTAAATTTATATATATAAATAAATGTAAACATATATATACAAACATATAAGTGCATGATCAACATATGTGTATTTTGTGAGCATCATATGCACACACTCCCATGACAAAAATTGAATTAAATTAATCCATTTAATTTAATTTTAGTCCAATTCAATTCGATTGCAAACATATTTGCAATATCGTCTCTTCCGTACAACGTCATTATTAATTGGTTATGGTGTGTGACATCCCTAGGTTTATCACTGAGTTGGTAGTAAGACTTGCACCAACACATGAGTACTCCCAAGAGAATTGATTGTCCCAATCAACCTCTAGGTCTTACAAGCCATAATTGACATCTAGCAATATGTCATAGCTATTCAGACAGTGTAAATGGTTTAAGAACATAATGAACCTGTCAACTTTAGCTACAATGACATCTAGCAATATGTCATAGCTACCCAGACAGTGTAAATGATTTAAGAACATAATGAACTGTCAACTTTGGCTACAATGTAATTCAATCCCTTTGTCTTACTATGTCCCGATCGAACAAAGACCATGGAATATTTGTCAAGCCACCAATTCGATCATATGTACAAACATAATTGACATGCATTTTATATGAAACATGAATAGTTTATTCTCGGTTACAGCCTCGGCCGAGGATTTTAATGTAGTGTCAAGATTAGATTGCATAGGACATCATTATTGTACCTTGCGTATAACAAGGAGATAGATTCCATTTTGCGCACACGTGTAACTTCATATGTGAACGAACTATAGCCATGAAGTATAGAGACAAATCAACGAACCGGCAATCTGCGCACCTGTGAACCATAGCCATCCAACACACAAGTCAACACGGTGCCTCAGGTCTAACGATTATTTACACAAGACCAGAGCATGAACGATTAGGCATTGACTACGCTAAAAGCTTCCATGTTGCTAATCGTTATACGCGTCATGTTCAATGAACTTGTTTGGAACAAGCACCTGTGTTCTAACTCGGGCATCACAATACCCAATGACTCATGACTCGTCATTTCCTTAAGTATCCAATAATTAATGGTGAAGCTAAGAATACACCGGTCTCAACAAGATCATTGATATCCACTTGATGATCAATCGACTGGGAACAATTTAAAGATTTAGTCTAACTATGAACCTGTCACACATATTCTCAACGTCTTAAGAATAGGTCTAGTCACAACTGATCTTATGAAATCATTCATATATTTAAATAATTGGACAAATGAATGAATACATCCTTGCCATTAAATAAATAATGAAATTGAAAATATAACTTAAATCCCTAACATGTAACTATTACATGGTGACTTTAGGGCATACATCTAACACATCATCGATAGAATAATCGGTCTAGTTTCCAATGTCCAGCTAATGAACATCTAGTTCATTGCTGTATATCAAAACTATTGCACTGGGTCCATGAGCACCAAACGTATGTAATCTTTTAGCGTAATATGAGGATTGGTATAATGATCTCCTCCGTCCTTGTACAGCACATCCATCACTCGTGTGAGGTTGAGAATTCCCATGAGAAGAGGCATCGCGACGGTAGTCGGGTGAAGACACTCCTCATTCATGTCCTTCCACGCATCATTAACTTGCTTGGCAAGGTCGTTTTCCGCTTCTCGTTCCGTGACACCGTAATGTTTCATGTAACATTGCACGGCCGAGTCCGCATGTTCTCTTCCTTGCTCAAACTGCAAAGATATGTACAACAAGACATATAAACGAGAGCTGATGTTTCATAGAGTTGGATTGGGTCTATATCTTAATACAAGAGTAGCAGTGGTAGAAGAGGAAGAAGAAGATTGTCCCTTTTGGAAAATGTGACCTTCAAGCTTTCTCATAGTTGATCTCATTCTCATCTTTCCATTGTCCATACAGCTAAAATCAACTTGTTTTCTCACCATACCATTCTTAATCACATCCTTTGAAATCCAAAATGAAAATAGCTCTTCGAAAGCTTAATTTATTTAATTTTTTTTTGGATGAGTAAATTATATGCTTCATTTCATTCTCCAATGAATAATATGAGGGTAAAGCTACCAGATATCCATATTGACACAACCATAACATTCTCGCTAAAAGCTTTATTGCACTTCAACTGACATATGGATCCCATGTCTTATTCCCAAGCCAATCTCATTAACACTTGACACATGCATATATGCATCATCGATAGAATAATGGGTCTAGTTTTCTGATGTCCAGCTGATGAACGTCTATTGATGCATATCAAAACTATTGCACTGGGTCCATGAGCACCGAACGTATGTAATCTTTCAGCATAATATGAGGATTGGTATAATGATCTCCTCCGTCCTTGTACAGCACGTCCATCACTCGTGTGAGGTTAAGAATTCCCATGAGAAGCGGCATCGCGACGGCAGTCGGGTGAAGACACTCCTCATTCATGTCCTTCCACGCGTCATCAACTTGCTTGCGAAGGTCATTTTCCGCTTCTTGTTCCGTGACACCGAATTGCTTCATGTAACATTGCACGGCCGAGTCCGCATGTTCTCTTCCTTGCTCAAACTGCAAAGATACGTGCAACAAGACATATAAACGAGATCTGATGTTTCATAGCAGTTGGGTTGGGTCTATATCTTCATTTATTACGTGCAAGAAAAAAAGGTACCTTATGAGTGGCCAAATCATCCATGAGCCTGCAAATAACTGTTGAAGCCTTCAGTATCTTTGGGTCGTTGAACAACCAATCTAAATCGTCTTTTGTTACCATATCTTGCATTCCAACAAAGGACGTGATCGCTAACAAGGGGTAACCACTCGATACTACTGCAATGGACATGTACTCATCCATCGTGGGCTTGTGTTGTTGGTGCAGCCAATTTGCTTCAGCAAAGTAGTATCTTGCTTGCCTTTTCATCTGAATATGCAAAGCATTTAATTCCTATCAATCGAGAATAACAACACTATGATTGTAGAATACAGTAGAGGTGGTATGATCTTACTGCTTCTTTCGCATAGTGGAGGCCATACAATCTTCCTTTGCAAGCCAGTATTTCTCCAATTTCAACGTAGACATCGATAAGTGCTTTGTAGAACACTTGCATGTACTCTGGAAGATCATTTATGCAATCAATGTCCCACCTGAAATTATCATATACATTACATGATATTTCAAAAACCTTCTATTGCACGAGGATTTGCTAATCACAATATTGTCCGAGAACTATGACAAGGTTAATCTACCAACCCCATCATCTTTCAGTACTAAGAGTTGCCAATTAATACATTTTTCCACATCTTGTATCTCATGCGAATATACATGTAACAAAATCTACTTGAAATAAGACACATCTACTGTGCCAATCTAACCTTTGAACAGCTTGAGTAAAGAGCTCTAGCTCTTCATAGGTTCCATAGACATCATATATGTCATCAAGAACTGAAGTCATTGCGATCACTTTGGTCAACATTCTTCGAACAAGCACTAATTCGGGCTCAAAATGAACTCCTAAAATCCAAAAGTATCCTTCCACGAGCCTATCTCTTGCAAATGGTAACTTCCTCTTGAAGTCCAGACCCATCCACCACCTAAATGCAAAAGGGCAATATTCACAATTACTTAAAACCACCTTCCATAGAGTATAAACAACAAATCAAGTTAATCCTGAGATAGCGTAATTGATCAACCTTGCAAGATCACATAACTCCTTCCGGTGTTGCTCTTGCAAGTGGTTGAAATCTAACTTGGCCAGTGATAGTAAGATTTTATTATGCAAAGGTTCCGCTTCATACATGGAGATGTATAGTCTCGCCTCGAGCCTCGGCACCCCTCGACGAATTGTTTGCTTTAAGGCATGACGGACTTGCATTGTGAGAGGAGGGCTTAGTTGCTCCTCATCAATGGACTCAAGATGGGTTAAACTGAAAGAAAGCGCTTGATCGAGAACATCTTCTCCATGCACACTCAGATGGCTAGCTTCATACAAACTTAGTAATCCACGCACGTCACTTTTGTATTTTTCACTGAACTTCCCACTGGTGTCCTTGAACTTGTTGAAGATGTCTGCTTATAAATCATAGTGAAATCAGGATTTCAATTGAAACATCCCTATTAGACGAAAAGATCTTCACGAGCGGTCTAAACACCTTTGGTTACCGAAAGAGTAGATAGTAACAATAAGAACCAACACGTGAATGGTGATTAAGCCACTCGTAGAGGATCTTTTTTGCCACGGATGGTGTTTATAATAATTGTCCCTATTGATACAACAAATTGTGTGACAAATCGTTTAACGCGTCTTGAGAAAGTGAGAGACTCAATCTCTATATCTCTAGAATTATTCTAAAAGAAATAGTTTGCATCTACATAGATATGTTTCATTTAGTTATATTCTAGCGTTTTCCACCACTATATGTGTCTGTGGTCAAGAACGTGAAGAATGCCTCGAGTTTAACATATTTGTGAAATTCCTTACAGTCAAATCTTTGTCTAGTAGGAGTACTTTATGTGTATTATATTTTTATCAGATCGTCCCTTTTGGGGTCATGTTGTGCAGTAGCTCGGGCGGGTCGGGTACAACTTCAGGAGATCGATTGTTGAATGACCTCAATCCACGGCAGGGAAAGGCAAAGAGGATCGATTCTAGATAATCGCAAAGGATCATAGTCTATCGGTAGTAATTTGCAAAATGATAAAAACAGAGAAAGGGCCACTCACCACATGAAATCCAGTAACCTTGTTGTCGCAATAAACGGAAGAGGAGAGCGACAGTGTAGAGGTCGTCAATATCATGATCTCCATTATTACAAACAAAGCAGGCCTCGTTAAGCTGTTTCAACACATGATCAATCTCACTTGTGAAGTGGTACGCAATGCCTAAGCGTTGAATTTGATCAATCATGTCCAGTTTCAGGGACGGCTTGTCCGCGTTAGTGCATAGCATCCTCTTCACCTCGTCCTTCAGCTTCTGGATTTCTTGTTCCGCCTGCTGATCATGGCCATTATCCTACACATAAACAAGAATACATGTTTATTTCACTCCAACAATAAGTGCATGAAACGTTCATTGGCCCAAGGCCTATCCTTAAATTGTTATTTTTAGTCTATTTTCACCCTCTTTTTCTACCTTAAGTAATCGATTTTGTAGTAACTTGCAAGATCACATTAAAGGAAGGTGGAGCAACTTAAGTCCTACCATTGAGTTGGAGGGAGCAGCATATTTGGCGAGGTAATCCTCCCACAAGCTCGGATGATAATCTACCGGCCGGCGCTCAACCATTTGGCTTTTTTCTTTAGCAGAAAGAGGACCATTTGTTGAGATCACTAGAGACATTTTTGTTCCCCTTTGTACGTAGATGTGTACACAAAATGAAGAACGAGAGGCTTTGATTCTTGTCTTGCGAAGGGATAGTTGAAGAGAATTTATAGACAAACAAACATTCCATGATGCCAAAGACCATAGTAATCAAGTTACCAAACCCCATTTGACTAGCCATGTTACTAAATACACCATGTCTTTTACAAATCATCACGTTATTCATAAAATTCCGTCCAATCACAAATACGCAAAACTCCAAATTCTCTGTTAACTTCATATGTTTTAAACTATTAATTGAGTACTCTTAAAATAATTTATCCAATTTTCTAAAATAAAGGATATGTCTATAAGAGGCTAGCATGCGTAAGAAATTTCTAGAAATAGTGTTGAAGGCTGCGAATGATAACCATTCTGTTTCTACTTTTCTGTTCCAGAAATAGGTTTGGAACAGAAATCCGTTTGGTAACGCAATTTCATTTTTCTATTTCTGGAACAAATTTTGATTTCAGAAATAAGTTTGGAACAGAAATGAGAAGTAAAAATTTTCTACTTTTGTATTTCTGGGACAAAAATGAGAAATAAAAATTCTTCTCATCGCTCGCCCTCGCTAATAGCCGGTCGCCCACTCACCGCCCATCGCCGCCTACTTGCCGGCTGCCGCCATTTGCCGTCTTCCGCCGTTGGCCACTGTGGGGCACCTTTCGCAGTCCACCGGCCACCGTCTCTCGCTGTCGATTAGGGTGCGCATGGAATGCATTCCGGAATAAAAATTCTATTCCAGAATGCATTCCGGAATAAAAATTCTGTTCCGGAATGCATGGCATTTGTTAAAAAATTTCCGGAATGCATTCTGGAGCGATTTTTGCATTCTGGAATAAAAATGCGTTTGTTAAAAATACTTGATTCCAGAATGCATTCTTGATTCCAGAATGCATTTTTGATTCCGGAATGAGTTTTTGGCAAGAAAAAGAGAAGCTACTTTTTGTAGCTTCTTGATTCCGGAATGCATTCTCCCTATTTTCTCACAATTTTTTTTTTCAGAAAATGCATAAAAATTGAAAAATTCTAGAAAAATTCATAAAAATTTCCAGAAAATAAAAAAAAGTCAGATTTCGGGAAAATATGAAATTTGGTGAATTTTTTTTAAAGAATAAAAAAAAATAAAAAATTTCAAAACTTCACAGAATAGCTTAAAACACATGTGGCCATCCACTTTGAGTGAAATTTAAATTTTTTGAGGTGCCCAAAAAAAATCAAAAATTTCAAAACTTCACAAAATGGCTTAAAATACCTGTGGCCACCTACTTTGAGTGAAATTTAAATTTTTTGAGGTGCCCAAAAAAAAGAAAAAAATAAAAAATAAAAAATTTCAAAACTTCACAAAATGGCTTAAAATACCTGTGGCCACCCACTTTGAGTGAAATTTAAATTTTTTGAGGTGCCCAAAAAAATAAAAAAAATAAAAAATTTCAAAACTTCACAGAATGGCTTAGAATATCTGTAGCCACCCACTTTGAGTAAAATTTAAATTTTTTGAGGTGCCCAAAAAAATAAAAAAATAAAAAAAATTCAAAACTTCACAAAATGGCTTAGAATACCTGTGGCCACTAATTTTAAGTGAAATTTAAATTTTTTTAGGTGCCCAAAAAAAATTAAAAAAAAATAAAAAATTTCAAAACTTTACAGAATGGCTTATAATACATGTGGCCACCCACATTGAGTAAAATTTAAATTTTTTTAGGTGCAAAAAAATCAACAAATCAAAACAGTTTCCCGAAATCAATTTCGGAGCGAAATTAGTCATGTTTTACCAAACAGATTTCTCATCCGAAATCAATTTCGGCAAGAATTCAAAATCAATTTCGGCAGAATTTGATTTCTGGAGCAGAATGGTTACCATTCGCACCCTTACCCTCCTCCTCCTGCCGGCCGCCCTCCTTCCGCCGTTGCTTGCCTCCCGCTGCCAGCTGTCGTGGGCCATCGCCCACCATCCACCAGCCACCGTCTCCTGCCGCTGCCCGCCTCTTCCCGCTGCTGCCCGCCTCTCGCCGCCGGCCGCCCTCCTCCCGCCGCTGCTTGCCTCTTGCCATCGGCTGCCCTCCTCCTGCCACATGCTGCCATGGACCGCCATCTGCCATCCATCGGCCATCGTCTCCCGCCACTGGCTGCCCTCTTCCCGTCGCCGCCCTCCTCCCGCCGCCACCCACCTCTCTCCGTCGGCCATCATGGGCCGCCACCCACCATCTGCCGGCCACAATCTCCCGCCGCCTCCCTCCTCCTGCCCCCGCACACCTCCCGCTGCCGGCCGTAGCCAGCCTCTCATCGCTGCTAGACGTCGGCCGCCGTCCTCCGCACTGGCCGCGTCGCGTCCCCCCACCGGCCGCGTCGCGTCCCCCCACCGTCCGCTGTTCGCTGCCACCATCCGTCGCCACCGTCCGCCCACCGTCCACTCGCCGACCACTCGAGGCAGAGAAATTTTGTGCCGTTATCAAACAAAATTTTGTTTTGGGAACATAAATTTTGTGTCATTATCAAACGCGTATTTTTGTTCAGAAATTCATCTATGGAATAGAAACAGAAATTCTATTTTTGGCCAGAAATTGATTTCTAAAACAGAATGGTTGTCATTCGCACTCAAAGTCTCTAGTATTGCGTGGACAAGGGTGAAAGCAGAAAATCTCTCTGACATGCAAAGATATTTGGTGTAGAGAGGTGGTGATGTATGCCTAAAAATTGGGCTTGGTGGACGTCCAATCTTTAGATGTTGCAGACCTATAAGTTTGGTTCCTTTCCTTCCCTATGTAATATACTCACCAAATGATAAAAGTTTTTCCCCTTCCTTGTGCTCCTAGCCAACAATAACCTCTCATGCATTCATCCTTGTTGTTTATGTGAGATTTGGTGGGACCACTGCCAAATATTCTAAAAGTTTAAGCTGTTAGATGAAGGTGTGGTTTAATATTTATATTCTAACACTCACCCTCACTCTTAGTCTGGTCTTTTTCCTAGTGCTAAGCGTGGACATATTTAATTGGAGAAGTAAGTGGGGCTTGGAAAGATTCGAACTCGGGACCTCTAGCTCTAACACCATGTGAGATTTTGTGAGACACACAGCCAACTGTTCTAAAAGCTTAAGCTGTTAGATAAAAGCGTGGTTTATTATTTAAATATTCTAATACTCCCCTTCACGCTTAATCTGGTCTTTTTGCCTAGTACTAAGCGTGAAAATATTTAATTAGGGAGACAAATGGGGCCCGGATAAATTCGAACTCATGACCTCCAGCTTTGATATCATATGAGATTTGGTGGATCACTGTCAACTGTTCTAAAAACTTAAGCTATTAGATGAATGTGTGATTTAATATTTATATTCTAACAGTTTCTTTGCTCAATCCTTTCCCATACACTAGCATATAAACCAAAAAGTAACAAGTATATATCGGTTTGGCCAATTATTCGTTTTGGATTGGATTTGAAAGGACTGTATATTATGTACAACTTTGTGATTCAAATGCATTCCAAAAAAAATGGTGGGGGTGAGATTGACATGTTATGTGTTTTATCTCGAAAAAATATGTGTACTTTTTTTTTACATTCGGGTGTACTTACCCTTCAAAAGTCAGCTTTTTTTTTCTTTTCACCAAGGAAACTCATAGCTTAATAGAGCAATAGACTTATTATGGCTAAGCTTTAATCATATGCAGTAAAATGGCAAAAGGACACTATAAGTGCCATAACTTGTGTACGGAGATCACTTTGGTGCCATAACTTTTTTTCGGATCACTTTGGTGCCAAGTCGGAGGAAAAACGATCACTTAAGTGTCATAAGTTTTTTTTAGATCACTTCAGTGCTAAAATTTTTGAAAAACGATCACTTAAGCGCTAAAATTTTTTAAAAACGATCATTTAAGTGCTAAATTTTTTGAAAAACGATCACTTAAGTGCCAATCTCCGGCGAGCCACGTCAGCTTCAGAAATTAATAAAAACAATGCCACGTCGGATTTCCGGCGAAAAATTGTGTATGGCACCAGAGTTGGCACTTAAGTGATCATTTTTCAAAAATTTTAGCACTTAAGTGATCGTTTTTCAAAAATTTTAGCACTAAAGTGATCCAAAAAAAACTTATGGCACCAAAGTGAGCGCCGTACACAAGTTATGGCACTTGTAGTGTTCTTTTGCCGCAGTAAAATATTAGCACACCATTTTCAAGTTTCAATTATGTTCGATTCACAAGATTGGCGGCAGAGTGTTTGCGCCACCCTTACAAGGGCTCTCTCGCTCTTTCACCATCGCCGCCCTAGTTCTCCCAGCCTCCACTATTGTCAGCATCTACCTAACTGCTCTAGCAAGGTGCCAATGGCGGTGGATCTCTCTCTCTTTCACCATCGCCGCCCTAGTTCTCCTAGCCTCCACTATTGTCAACATCTACCAAACTGCCCGAGCAAGTTGCCAATGGCGGAGCTCAACGCAGCATCGTGATTGCGACATCTACTCAATTTTGGAAGCGCGCAGCAGAAGTGCAATGTCTTCGTCTGGGGAGATTACTAAAAGGGAGCTTGAGCTCGAGCCCGTCAACATATCTAATTGAACCTACCTTCACTTAAAAGCTTAAGTCAATGAGTTATGGGCCAACTAAGATATATTAACTACTCCACCGATGTGGAACTTTTTTAACACAACTCACATATATATCTCTACACTCAGTGGCCTCAAGACTCTATCGCAATATCAAGATCTTGACGACCATAGAGGAATTGCTGACTCGACGATGGTGGAGATCAGCCCGCAAACGATGAAGACAATAGTGGACGATGGAGCGACTCGAACGCGTGGCCATGACTGAGTCTGGAGGTGGTGATGGTGAGTTCGCTGGTGACAACAAAAGAGGGAGATGTTACATTGGGTTCGATTGAGATTGAGAGATCGAGAGAGAGATTTGAAATTGGTACGGTGAGAACTGGAATTAGATGAACACATGTCTTGATCCTACGGGGACAACATCATATGTGACTATAACAAGTGACAACAAATCTTTAGCTATGAAATTGAATCATGGCCTGCCTGTTGAATTCTTGTCGC